GGTGTATCATAGCACTTCGGTAGGGGAGAAGCCTGATGAAAATATTTTGATCACACGAAATATTGATAAAAAAATAATAAATAAGTTGTTAAATTAATGTAGTATAGTTCATATATGTCGAATCTCACAATTAGGCATGGTATCAAGGCGGGGCAGGAGCGGGTTTTGCCTCTCCGATCCCCGTATTCGACTTTTTAACTATCTCTCGTTTCAGTCTCGATCCCGCTAGAGTTAGAAATTAAGTCTTCATCTCCGTTTCAGTCCTTGCTGGGTTTTGGGTTCTCCACCCCACCCTGTCCCCGATTTATATTATTTTTAAAAAGATAATTACATTTATAATAAATTAATTTTATTATATATTTTTTATATATAAATAAATATTTATAACTTTATAATTTATAATTATTATTAATTAAACATACATTTTAATTTATTATATTTATATTAAAATATATATGTAAAAGAAATATTTAATCATTTTTTATTTATATATATAGAATATTTATAACATTATTATTATTATTATAAAAATGTATCCAAATATTTGAATACTTCTAATATTATTATTATATTACTGTATTCAAATATTTGATTATATATATATATATATATATATATATATATATATATATATAAGTTAATTCATTTTTAAGTTGTTATTTAAAAATATGAAATATATAGTTTATAAAGAAATATTTAATAAGTTAATTCTTATTTAATTAGTTCGAAGTAATAAAAGTTTAAATTATCAATTCCTTTTATTCCTTTAAAATATAATTATTTTATTAAGATAAAATTTGATATATGATAAATAAGAATAATAAAATAAAAAATATGACATAATAAAACTTAATAAATATAAATTATAAATAAAATAATATTAGTTACTACTAAGATTTATGTAAAATATTTAGAAAAAGATAAAAAAAATTAACTTTGTGTTCATCAAATTGGTTGAAAAAATTGAAAAAAATTGATATAAAATATATAAAAGATATATAGTTTAAATTCATATTAAAGAACTGTATTTTAAAGAATTAAAAGGAATTGATAATTTAAACTTTTATTACTTTAAACTAATTAAATAAGAATTAACTTATTAAGTATTTCCTTATAAACTATATATTTTATATTTTAAATGACAACTTAAAAATAAATTAATTTATATGTATAATCAAATGTTTGAATACAGTATTATAATAATAATATTATAAGTATTCAAATATTTGAATACAGATGTTATAACAATAATAATGTTATAAATATTCTATATATATATATATATATATATATAAAATGATTAAATATTTCTTTTACATACATATTTTAATATAAATATAATAAATTAAAATGTATATTTAATTAATAATTATTATAAATTATAAATATTTATTTATATATAAAAAATACATAATAAAATTAATTTATTATAAATGTAATTATCTTTTTAAAAATAATATAGATCAGGGACGGAATGGGAAACCCGAAACTTAGTAAGGACGAGGATAAAGACTTAATTTCTAACCCCGGCGGGGATCGGGGACGGAGACAATGATGGTTTAAAAAGTTGGGGGCGGGGATCGGGGACGGAGACAATGATGCCATGTGTACATAGGGGAGACGTGACTGTTGGTAGTTATTTAGCTTGATCTATTAGGATTTTGGGTTCAATCTATACCTATAAATAAATCACTTCACACTCCTCCAAAGGCACACCTGATTTATTTTTTCTTCTCTCTTGTTCTATTCTTATCCTGACTTTATTTACTTTTTTAAAAGTTTTTTACTAGTCTCTGAGTTCCTCGAAAAATCTGAAAATTTTCCCTTATATCTCAAAGAATTTGTGCAATATAATGCGAATAAGTCCTTAAAATTGTAATTATGCACAATTTTTATTTATGTGTTTGTCAGCTTTTACAATCGGTCTCACGCTAAATCAAAAGAAAATTACTTGAAAATCATTTCTAAATATAACTTGGTTGCAAATTAGTCCATTCTTCTGTTTTTTTTTTAATTTAAATTAAGATTATCTTCTAGTTTATCCTAACTCTTTTTAAAAAAAAAATTGATAAGCTATTGGACTAACACAATTTAATATAGATTTTGTTGTTCATTAGATTGGTCAATTTGTTTTCAAACTAAGGACCCCTCATATACAAGATATTGAAAACTGTCCCATAAATGAGATTGTTCTATTATGTTCATAGTGATCATGATTTCAAGCCTCTCAAATTCAAATTGAGATACTGTCAAATTGTTATTGGGAATTGTGCTTTTAAATCCAAAAAATAATCTATAGTATCTAAAACTTGAATGGAAACTAAGTATAAATTTTTGGCTTAAATTCTGGACTTCTTTATTTTAAAGTTGATCTTTAATTCATTATTTATATGATAGAGATAAGTCAATTATAGCTCTAAACTTAGTCAAATTAAGGTTTTTTTTTTTTCTGTAAAAGTTTTAGTGCCATTTATTTGCCGTCTCTATTCTAATGTTTTATATCAATAAGCGTGGAAATATAGTTAGTTAATAAAGAGACTGAAGATAGCTAGCTTTTTCACTAATCGAAAGGTTTTTATTACGAGAGCATGACATAATGAAGAGCTCACTCATGTTTTGGTGTGTGAAAAATAAAATAAAATACAAGTGGTGTGTTATTAATATGAAGCAGTTTATGACTATACTCTAAAGTTGGCGAATATGATTACAAAAGACGCTTCTTCTAATCCTATCTGTATCTTATTCATATTATTACGGTTATAATTGGTTTGATCATTTTTAAGGTGGCATAGCAGAAATCCACATGTAATCATGTACATTTTTCCCTGTTTTGTTATTATCTAACTTTAGGTATTACCATTTTGTGACACAATGGAAACTAGAAAATCAACACAATTATTAAAATGATTAACCCCAGAGGCTGCTTCCACGAGCTCTTGTTTCATTGATGAAATAAGTTGACAAATCGTGGATACGCACACATAAATAATGTTTCTTATTCTCTTTTAACGACTCACTAATGTTCTTCTGGGCTCACTTTGATGCGAGAGGATCATTAAATACTCGTAATATCATATAAAAATGATGACCTGATTTAACAGACATACACGACCCATCACTTTTCTCATTCACATCAAAGTTTTCGCAGCTTCTTGTAAATCAGTAATGGCCTCAATGTTCCCCCACGGAAAAAAAACTAAACAAATATTCTCCATACGTGCAAATAACTGAACTTGCGGGGCGTAACCAGCTAACCAAGAATTTTAAATAAGGGCATTAAGATATAAAAATTAAGTATTATGTAAAAAGAAATATATTATATATTTAATATATTAATTGAATTTAAATTTTAGAAAATAAAATTTATTTTATTTATCATTTTTTAAATAAATTTATAATTTTATTTTTAAATATCTGTAAAATTTAAACTGATTTTTTTAATATTTTAATATTAAAATATAATATCATAAAACATTAAAATAATTAATTAATTTATAATAAATAAAATAATTTATATCAATATTTTATATTTTTATATTATATTACACATACTAATTTATTATAATAATAAATAAAAGTAATAATAAATTTGTTATTATTTTTTATTTTAAAAAAATATAGAAAGATATATCATTTATTTTTTAACATTTAATGTGTTAAGATAAAAAAAAATAAAGAATAAAAAAATTAAAAATTAGAGAAATTTTTTTACAAAAGATAAAACAGAGAAAAATATGAAAATGAATAAATGATAAAATAAAAAAATAAAAACGTGAAAAGATAATAAAAATAAATATATAATAAAGATAAAAAATAAAAATGTGAAAAAAATAAAATAAATGTGATAGAAATAGTTGAAGTAAAAAAATGAACTAATAATAAAAATAAAAAGTAAAAATAAGACAAAATAAATATGTTTATCTAAAAATAAAAAATAAGAGAAAAAATATAAAAATCTGAAAATAAAAAAAAAACTAAGTGTAAGTAATAAATTGTATAAAAAATATATATAATATTTATTATAAATTAAAAAACTAAAAATAAAAAAATTAAATTTTATTTACATTTATAAAATAATTTTTTTTAAATAATATATATATAAATTGCTGTTTGGGGCGTGAGCCTGAACCTGAGCCTGCTGCCCCACGGTAATTCCCTCTGAAAACTTAAAAATTATAACTAAATTTCTCGTACTCTGAGTTGATATACATATTATATTTTCAAAAGACATGTACCATACCTTGATGTATTAATATACTCACACCTCTTGAGATATTTTGGAACCCTACTTTCCCATTTTATCCTCATTGAATGTTACACAACTCGAAGAGGGTTCATGGTGGTGTAAAGGGCAAGATTGTCTTTTGGGAAGTATAAAAAAAGTGTAGAGGATAAGCAACCGATACCAAACCCTAGACATGGAAACCCTACGCTTGCTTGTTCTGAAAATGGGAGAAAATTGGATGGAAACAAGAAAGTGATATCAGAGTTGGGGCCCATCCATCCCATGTGTTGCCCGCCACGTCAGCAAGAAGTGATGATTCATCACTGGGGTCCATTTCATTGAATCACAAACCCCACATCCCAAGGTCAACTACATTTTCGTATTTATTTATTTTAAAAATTGATTAATGGTTGATTCGGTGAATCCTTAGTTATTGTTATTATTATTGTGAGGTGAACATAATACCCACGTTCACACACAACACACTATATCCATTTTCGTTTATGATCAGTAAAACAACACAATTATATTGGTGTACAACTTGCTATAAAGACAAAGTAATGTTTTGGTTGAAGAAAAGAGGCACAAGAATAATTACGTTGTATTGGTATTATGAGTTGCACTCCCACTCTGGTGAAATTGCACGTGTTGTTGCGCTTAAAGAGTGTGTGAAGTGTGAATTGTGGAAGATGAATATCCCAATTCCCAACAAAAATGGACCACGTCTTGGGCCCACATAACATAGTGGGCTCCGCACAACTCAGCCCAACTTGCAATGCTAATCATATGGGCTAGCTCACGCCGGACCACAAGCCGCTACGTACACTCAGCCATCCAACATAGGTGGGTCCCACAGTCCACCACACTGGTCATTCTCTACCTCGGCTTGCTTCGCCGCATATACGTAGCCGCGGCTACCTTAGCTGCTTTCCAAAGGTTCATCTCATGGGCCCATTAATTTTCTGTTAAAATTAAAATAATATTTATACATAAGAAAATAATATTTGTCTTTTTTTTTTTATGAAGTTAGGATAACAAATGTCTATACTTTTTATTTAAATCTTATGATGCACTTCCTCAACAATCTTATTTGATTTTCCATTAACCCTCTTAGACCATATATTTAATTAATTTAATAATGTCGTTACAAAAACATTGAATTCTGCTTTCCATCTATACAAAAGTAACAACGATATTGCTTTAAACGTATATATAACATAAAATATCTTAACAAATCCATAATTGGGGGGTGAAAGAAAAAAATAAAAAAAGTTTCAATTTTTGGGATCCGTTAACTATCTAGGTATAAATAATTAATGGTTACTTGAGGGAAACCAAGGCCAAACTAACGTACACTTTTAACGTTAAAAAAAAAAGAATTAAAAAGTATTAGTTAAGATTAATTTAACGTAGGTAGCCATTGATGAAACGTGTGAAGTGTCTGAGAACGGAACGAGGAGTGAATCCCGTAATGAGTTCACCACCTGTGACAGTGAGACGTGCAACTGATGTAACATCAATTATGACCCTCGATAGTGTCATGGAAACGCATTTGGTCCTAAGAATATTAGTTACATCTAAAAAATTTAAAATATAAAGCTTATTTCTAAAATTATATTTTTGAAATAAATTAAATAGAATGGTGTAATTGGAGAAGTGGAAGAAAGATAAAATATAAAAAATATTTATTATATTATGATACAAAAAAGTGGATAAAGAAAGAAATTTCTTTTATATAATTGGTAAAAATACAATTTTTTAAAAAAATGAAAGAACATCATTGTGTCACAATTGACAGTAAATAACAATGTGGTTGAATAAAAATTTCATTGGGCAATCGAAGTTGCACAGGTGATCAATATTGCAATGTTTGTAGCGATGGTGGCTTCTGTTTCCTTTTGACTTTAAGTTTGCAAGGAGCATTGCATGATAATCATTTATTTCGTGGAGTTAAGAAGAAAGCAGATTAATTAGGACACAACTAATGCTTCAATAAGTTAATTTTGGTTGTTTACTTCACAATAATAAATTCATAAATAGCGAATATCTGTTTTATATTTTTCTATACTATTTTTTCGCAGAAAATGGTTTAAAAAAATAAAAAACCACTACAATAAATATATTAAATATCAATTAATTTAAAAACATAAGATATTTACTTATTATATTGATTAAATTAAAAATTATTTTAACTAAATTAATTTGTGAATTATAATTTAAATTAGTATTTGTAACGTTAAGGTTTTAATTATTATTTGAAATTAAACTTTAAATTATTAAATTGAAGTTTAATTTTCAATTAGTAACTAGAATTTGTCACTAGATTAAAATTCTAATTCAGAAACAAATGTAATTAAAATAATTTTTAACTTACTCAATATAATAATTAAATATTTTTTGTCTATTAAGAAAATTATTGTAGTAAATTATATACCCCGAAGGGAGAATGACTTCCAAGGAATTGTTTTGTTCCTTTAATGTGGTCAACACTTATATTCGATGTTTTTTTTTCTTTCAAATAGATAACTAATTATATGCATATATTTGACTAATATTTACGAAGTACTTATTGTATAAAGTTTCGTTCAGGAAATATAGTTAGTATGACAGAGTTATACAATTCTACTAATCAGAAAGGGAAAATGGTTGCTTCAAACAAGTAGTTTATTCTTTTCTTTTGTCTTGTTCAAGACAGATGAAATAATCATCACTTTAAAGACATTAACTTTTCCACATTTACTCTGATATAATCATTAGAGGAACAACTTTGGCATTAATCAGGTGAATGAATGAATACATGTATGTTGTAACTAAGAGTATATATGGTTAGTGGCACTATAACTTTAGTAATTAGATATTAATGCAAGGCCTGCAAGAATTGTATGATTAGCCTAATTATAAGAGAAACAACAACCACCACTAGTGATAGAAGAGAGAAGGGAGCATTAGGTATATATATCTACTGTTTTTGTTTCGAAGATTTGGCATATATGAGAGACAAATGTCCCGTAGAACATTCATGAGATCCAGTGTCACTTCCAATTCAGACCATCATAACAATTTAATTACAGTTGAGAATCGAAGGTAGTGGAAATGGTAGGGACTAAGAATGAAGGAGGGGGCCACCATGCCTCATTTGTGTGGGAGGGTATGCATGCCTTTTTTTTTTTTTTTGCAAAAGCCAGAGGGGTTGGCTGTTCCATTACGTCACCACCAATGCCCCTACGAAATTTGTTTACTCTTTTTAGTGCCTTGTGGCATGCCTTTAAGATTGGTGATTGGTCTGAGCTGTTAGTTCCTCTTTGCCTTCACCGTTTCACTTTCCTCTCTGCACTCTTTTCACCACATTTTATGCAAAGCTTGCTCATAGATACATAGAAAGAGACCCTTTTTTTCTGAGAGAAAACAAATATATTTGTAGCTGTTCACTCGGTGTTGGTTGGGTTGCGTCTCTTTCGGTTGCGGGTAGAGGTGGCACTAGAGAACCGTTTCCTTCCAACTCTACCTCTGCCATTTTTCCGCCACCTTTTGTCCCTCTCTCTCACTCAAGAACCTTTCCCACCAATTCAGCTCAACCGACAGTGAGATCTTGTTCATCATATATCGTTTCCCAGAACCAAAGAGAAGCATGTATCTCGTTAGGGTTTCATTTTTTTAATTTACTTTTTTGCCTTCCTGTTTAACCCTACTTCACCAGAAACCAAAGACACATCGTTTATCCTCAGACGTTGCCATTTTCTGTTCCTCTTTTATGCTGTTTTTCCTCGGGATCCGATCCCACAAGTAAAACACAGGTTGTTCCTTGTGAGAGAGCAAAAAGCTAACAGAAAAGGTTGACGGGTTCTATTCCCGAGGACTTGTGTTTGTTACTGTTTCAACCTTTTTTGTGCTTCTATTGCGTGAAAATCTTTGTCTGATTTAGGAGCTGCCTCGATATATATTTTGGAGTTGGGTTGAGACATATCACCATACCTCCACTTTCACCTCAGTTTATATAAACACCTAGTCATTTTTGGAGGAAGATTTGTGACTGAACCACCGTACCTAGATCTGTGAAGACTGCTGTTGCTAGCTTGATCTCTGTGAGCTCTCTTACACTTTCTGTCTAAATTTTTTTGTATCTGCGACTCCTTTTTCAAATTTCTTTGCTTTGTCTTGAAGACTGAACGAACCACCGTCAGGGATCCTTGTTCTAAATTATCGATGTGAGTAATTTGTTACGAGATATACAAGAGCCATATATACTTTACATAACCCAAAAAAAGAAGTGTAGAGTTTTCACTTTAGAGATCTTAAACTGAACAATCCTTAAATTGATCAAATTTAAAGGGTCTTTTTCATTCGTTTGATTTGCACCCGCTTCTCTCCAACCCCGAGGAGGCTCTTTCTATATGATCCTTGTTAAGTGTAAGCATATATACTGTTACTCATTATAAGAAGGTTCATAAACTTTATGCCTTTATAAGCATGGGTCATGTATTAGTGGCAATCACAATGAGTAACAATCACTTGTATGTTCATCTAGTACTAGTAAGTCTTGTGCATGTCATCGCATGTGTGTTGACTATGTGAGTATTTCGCACGCATAATCATCATGGTCATGCCTTTTCTCCATATATATTATATAGCAATTATATTCTTCTTTTTCGATATATTCACTATCTGATCGATAATCTTTAATGCTATCAAAGCATTATGTGTATAGACATTTTGTTAAGATGTATGGTAACTTAAGTATATGATCTATTCTTTTCCCACCTTTTCTTACTAAAGATACGGAAATAGGAGGAAAAAAGGGAGATAATTTAGGTAATTTGACAGTGAAAGATAGAAAATAGATGAGTTATAAAAAATGTTGTAAAATAGGAAGATAATATAAATCCATTAAAATAAGTTTTAGATTAATCGACTGTGAAAATTTGGATCACAAATAGTAATTAAGTTTGGATTAGTAAAGAACGTGATCTGATGATTGTTATTGAGTTTCATGTCGGTACTGTGTAGCTAAGTTATGCATAAAGTTTAGCTTATTTGTTTATATGGGAACCTAATTCCCTAATTTTCAAAGGTTACTATTAAATGTTAAAACTTGTAAGTGGAAAACTACTTTTAACTCACTCTAATCATGTTTACTGTCAATAAGTTCAGGGAAAACATTATTAAACCAAAAAGAAAGAAAAAGACCTTAACAATGCCTCACTATTTTTTTAATTATTATTCACGAAGGGTGAAAATTCAATATAATGATCAAATTTGCCTTATCAAAGTGCAAGAGAACAGTTATTTGACCAGCTGCCATGTGTTAAGCTGCTAACTTTTTTGTATCTCCAGTAACATTTACTAATCCTTTCACCTGGGTTGAGGACGAAATTAATTTTATAAATATAACTGGAAAATATCATTTGCTCAGTTTCCAAACTAGTAATAGCTTCCTGTTGCTTGCTTATATCATAGGACAAAAAATTTGGTTGTATGGAGAGAGTACTGGTACAGTTTAACTTGTTAAAAACTATGATTGAAGGTGAAATTTACTTGACCATATTTTCTATCATATTGCAGGACCCAACAGAGGGAGAACATGGATACTTTCACTCATGTCCCCCCCGGTTTTAGGTTCCATCCTACGGATGAAGAACTTGTTGATTACTACCTTAGGAAGAAAATTGCTTCAAGGAGGATTGACCTAGATGTCATAAAAGATGTTGACCTCTACAAAATTGAGCCATGGGATCTTCAAGGTAGTTCTACCGATCGAGTTTATAGCATCTGAATTCAAAAAGAGGCAGTTTTATTGGTGATAGAAATACTGTTAACATTTTCAATGTTTTTCATTTTCGTTTCAAATTTTATAGAGATTTGCAGAATAGGAACGGAAGAGCAAAATGAATGGTACTTCTTTAGCCATAAAGATAAGAAGTATCCAACTGGAACTCGCACAAATAGAGCAACTGCAGCAGGGTTTTGGAAAGCAACAGGAAGAGACAAGGCAATCTATTCAAAGCATGATCTGATAGGCATGAGGAAAACCTTAGTCTTTTATAAAGGCCGAGCTCCAAATGGACAAAAGTCTGATTGGATAATGCATGAATATCGGCTTGAAACTGATGAAAATGGCACTCCACAGGCAAGTTAATTTCTGCAATCATAAGCTCTTGACAAAAAGAAAAAACTGTTTCCTAATCAACATAGAAAAATAAAGAACGAGATTGAGTTCATTTTATAGTTATAACGTGTTACAATAAATTACTGTAACTTTAATGTGTGCAAAGGCTCTCACGAGCTAGTTAAACGTTGCTGGGAATCATTAATCAAACAACGACAAAAGGAAAGAACATCATGCATGCATGCATGTAGCATTTATAGTATATAGTTCATCTTCCTTATTGATGAACCACTATTAGATTTGATAATGAGTGAGCTATAACTTTCTTGTTGGTGAGTTGTCTCATTACATCCCCGTAAAGTAACGATTGTTTTTGTCCTTCACGTGGAAACTTCAAATTTTGTATGTCTGAAGCAGGAAGAAGGATGGGTTGTGTGTAGAGTATTCAAGAAGAGAGTAACAACGATGCGTAAAGTGAGTGAGCACGACTCCCCTTGTTGGTATGAAGACCAAGTGCCTTTCATTCCAGACATGGACTCACCAAAGCAAACCTCTCAATCTAATTTGATCTACCAGCTTCCGTATCCTTGCAAGAAAGAGCTAGAATTGCCATACCAATTGCCTCACGACCACTTCCTCCAGCTTCCACTTCTAGAGAGCCCAAAACTGCTTCAATCTGCTTCAGCCATAACCCCTAATCCCATGGCACCATATCTTGTAGATCATGTAAACCACTCCACTACTCTGCTTCCCTCATTACTCATACAAGAGGAACAGGTTATGGGTCAGCAAATAAACTATCAGGCAAATTATGGCAACAACAACAACTCCAATGAACAAGCAGTGGATCAAGTAACTGATTGGCGAGTGCTTCACAAGTTTGTTGCTTCACAACTCAGTCAAGATGCATGCAAAGACAATACCTACTCAAACACCTCAGCCAATATCTTTCACGGCACGGACAATGGCAACTGCAACGTCCAGTTCAGACATTTGGACAAACAAGAGATAGTGGTGCCTCAAGAAAATGCGTCAACATCAAACTCCAGCTGCCCAGTTGCATTGTGGAAATAGTGGCTGCTTTATAAGTTGGTTTTGGGTACATACTAATTATAGGGTACTTAGCTAAATCATCACTTCCAAGTCCTGTTTAAGTGCCTGTACATAATAAACTTTATGGGCAAAACTTCAACTATTGTGTGGAGCTTCTCGCCCCACCACTTTCTCCCTAGCTTCTAGCATATTCAATTGAAAAGAAAAGAAAAATTGATGGGACGGTTAAATATAGTTAGTACAAAGCCATCTATATTTCCCTGAAGATGGAAAGGTTTGCATGGTTGTATTGTTCAGTACGCATGCATGATGAGATCTACTATGTAAACCAAGGTCCAACAGCCACATATGCTGTTTATATTGGATTGACCGGGTGGTCGATATACTTTTGTCTATCTATCTATCCCTATCTCTGTATGGTACAATTAAATGAAATATAGTTATAGAATAAAATCTTCTTTCTTTCTTTGTTAATTTTTAGCATCTATTTAACAAGTTATTATGCAACTTTTTTTTACAGGAGTAAGACTAGTAATGTGATATATATATATATATATATATATATATATATAAAGAGAGAGAAAGAGAGGGAGGGAGGGGGGAAGAAAAATAGGAGTGTTATTGTAAGTTATTTTACAACATTATATCTCTTTTTCTAAATCAGTTTGGACATGGTTATTGTGTCTTTATGCTAAGAGTTATCATAAAAATGAGATCCGAATGCAAAATCTTAATAGATATTTTTTTACTGGTTTTGATATTATGTAAATCTTGATCTTCTCCTTCAAAAATAGCCTGTTATGAGTCATGCTCTCTTTTCTTGGAAACAAAGATTAAAATATACATCAAGCTTAAATACTAAGACAAATCAAGGGTTAATTAAAGACATATATATTCTCAAAAGTTAATTAGAAATCTAATTAAAAGTTTCCATTTCCCTGCACCTATGGGACTGATCTTGATTTGGCTTGTGTGATAATATTTGATGATGAAGCAAGAAAAGAAAACAGTACTTAACACACCCACAAGACGACAGATGGTACCACAGATTCTTTGCTCCTAAGTCTCGCAATATATACCCCGCATATGCATCAAAACCCATCTGAGGTTTAGAAGGCAAGCAAAAGATATAACTAGCCTAGACGTGATATTGGGAATACAAGAAGGTAGTTCTTTATTTAGTTATTCCAAGTGGCAACAAATCATGGAACAAAATTATTACAGCCATGATAGGGATCACAAGTGCCTGCCATATGATATGATACGTAACTTCAACGCCTTGTAGAAGATTCAAACCCATTTCTAAACAAATTCAATTATATATGGGAATATGGCACTAAATACATGCCAGTAATTACAATCAAACTCGAAGTAATAATATAGGGTTGAATAAGGCTAAGTAATAGAATAAATCGACGCATATATATGAATCAAAGTGAAACAGAAACAATATTTAGACCTTTGGCCGCAAAAACTAATGTTTAAAAGGATTTTCAAAAGTAAGTAGACTCCTAAGGGATGATTGTTATCTCTTTGTTTTGGAAATATGTATCAAATATTATTTGGGTAAGAAAAATTTGTTAAATAATTACCTGTGCTGCATTAGAGATCTGCAAATCTTCTCTAGCATTAATTATGTATAGTAAGGGCAACAAAGAAAGCTGCAAATCAGCCACATGTAAATGAGGTAGAGAATCGCATTAAACTTCAAAAAACTAAAGAAGAAGCACTTCACAACAAATTCAGAGTGTATGATGATGAAGTTTCGGATGAAAGAATGCGATGCAACAACACATTAAGTATACTGTGCTCTTCGGACAAAAAAATGCCAATTTAAAACTCATAAACAAGTTCGCTATGGCTGCATGAAATTCCATAAAAGCATCGCACAGAGAAGCATGAAACCAAAGTTTCTTTTTGGGTGGAACAGAGAAAATAATCCTGATAAGGTGAGAACAAATGGCTTAGTAGAGAAGTGAATGCAAAACATTATGAAACTAGCTAGCTTAAAAGACTGAAGTGAAACTTAAAATAAGAACTAGTCTAGTAGGGTTCTATATATGGGGTGAGAGCTTGATATATAGCAACCTATGGGTTGAATATATACGCTAGAAGAAGCACCATGGGAACTGCAAAGGTGAGAACTGTTAGACTTTATTCATTACTTAAATATACAAGGCAACAATGGCATTTATTTCTTGTGAAGTCAAGGTTGATCTTCTACTCTTCATAACTTTTAAGCAATTATGTTCCCAGACGACACACTCATGAACTATGCTCTAGGTGGAAGGAGATAAAGATGCATAAAAATGGAGGCAGTGATTAAGTTGTGGATTCCAAGGTAGTAAAAGAAGTTGAAAGTCAGAGCCAGTTTCTGACTTTGCTTTCGCGTGTCCATTCCTTGTTGTTAATAAGTTGTGACAGAGAGAGAAAGCATGTGCATGCGTTTAAAAATTAGCCTCAACAAGGGCATGCCATAGCAATAACATAGGCAACACGAGAGTGGATGAATAATTAGAGTTTATTACAGTGTGACATTTTTTTAGTTTATGTATATATGTTATTTCTAGTGGAAGGAACAATAAAGTATCATTCGTTCACACATAGGAACATGTCCATGTGAATGCTATTATGTTCTCCCATCCACTACATACAGAAATGTATTTGTGTCCCACCCTGCATGAATATCATAAAAGCAACACCCACTCGGCATGGTGTATATATATGGTATAACTTAATTACAACTTAATTTATATATATTATCTTCTCTTAATACATTAATTTATTTTCTTTTAATCTATTAATTTATTGAAGTAAATAAGAGTTCTAAAATAAATAATAACTCCTATATAATATCGAATGTTCTCATTTCTCAAATAGAATATTAACATTCATGACGTTAATAATAGAATTTTGTTCCAATCATATTTACTCCTTAATTTTTTATTAAAAACTTGTATTAAGTAGATGTATGACTTATGAATTGAAGTAAAAAGTAATTTATACATATTATGATGGATAAAAATTTCAAAACGAATAATACTTTACACGTAATTATTGACCCTGATGGTATCATAACAAACATAATATCGAATCTTCTTCTTATATGTAATAAATATATATATATATATATATATATATATATATATATATTTATTGGATTGAATGGTTAAATTAAAAAAAAAATCAAAAGTCATATTTAAAGAATTGTAGTGATTGACAATAAAAAAATTATTTATAAAATCGTGTATTAAAATTCAGATATTTAAAACTTCTATGGAATTTATTTTCTTTTTAAGTTTATTCAAGTTGCAAATATTCGTGATAAAAAAAATTATTTGAACTTCTTATATAAGGATAAATTATGTTAATTAAAAAAATTTATATCTTTTAGTTTAACTGATATAAATGTTTTTTCCTAAACTACCCGTCTGTGGAAATTCATGTTAAAAGAATCATTAACAGGATACATTTCCCTTAAAGGATATTTGCGATATTTTTTTATTAAATAGGTTGAAAATAATTTAGATTGAATTCATAAATTTCAATCTCTTTTTTTCGTATGGGGTTTAGAATTTTGGATTATAAATTTTCAAAATTAAAATCAATATATAGGTTTTCAACTTTCATATTGTGATTTAAAAAAGTCTTAATTTCAAAATCCATACCATACTAATTCATGTTTGATTGGGATGTCTTATTACTATTATTATTATTATTATTATTATTATTATTATTATTATTATTATTATTATTATTATTATTTATTTTATTATTATTAATCAATTAAGTAAAATTATTTGCAATAATTAAAACGATTAATTATAGTCATTTTAGTGATTACAATTTATATCACAATTATGATTATTCATATGTGACGATAATAATTTCATTAGTAAATACGATTTTAGTAAAAGAAATAAAAAATTTAAATTAACTAATTTAACTGTTATAGTTCGAATGAATGAATTACTGTTTTTATATAAAGGATTAGTGAAATCGGTGGGAAAAAATGAAATTTTTATTTAGTTTAAGTTAGTTTTCATTTTAGTAGGAGTGAAATATACTTTTATCTCTATTTAATTTCAGATATCGGGTTTTAGTAACATAAATTCATTTGTCTATTTTAAGTTCCTCATTTATTTATTTCTATCCATAATTATTCTATATTGAGTTTTTTTTTATTGTTTTTTTTTTCCTTTCAGTGGTTAATAATGAATAACAAAAATAAACAAGAGATAAAATGAAAAAAATCAGAAGTACTAAAATTTGAATTTGAATTGAAATCTGAATTAATTCTATCAAGAATAAAACCCTATTCAACCCCTTTAATATAAAATTAAAGTGTATTTTAGCCAAGTTTAATAGTGAGTCATTCACGTATATATTTGACCTTGTAATATCCACATACAAACTTATGCTTTTTACGTGAGGGCCCACGCGGGGTTTTCTATATATTTCCTGAAAAAAACAAAAAGTGTATTTGTAATATGTAAATAATGAATTTGTATGTCATATTTAAATATTATATTATCTAATATCTTTTTAGGTATTTTAAACATTTATTAAAATGTTTATTATTATTATTATTATTATTATTATTATTATTATTATTATTATTATTATTATTATTATGTACATAGACACAATTACAAACTAACTAACTAACTTGAAATGGACGTTTGAGGATGAGACTCAGGTGACTAAAACAAACTAACTTGAAAATGGGCCACAATTATCCAATGTCGCCTAGTGTTAGTCCGACATGTTAATGGGCTTTTACTAACAAACAACTATTTTTTGCACAACACCTAACGGGCCGGTCCTATTTTGGTTTTGCCCACCTCTAACATGCTAAAACGGTGCAGGCGAACTGATCTGGTATGGATAAACTACATATCCCACTTCGCTTAGTCAAAGGACAAGCTGATGTCAGTTAATAATTTTTTTACATAAAATTTTTTATATATTTTTTTTAAAATATATTTAATTATATAAATAATTTTTAAGTTTTTATTTATGTATTAAAATAAATAATTATAATTAATAAATTTAATTTAATTTATTAATTTTTATAATTTTAATTATAATATTATAAATAATTACATATTTTAATAATATAAAAAAATATAATACTTTTTATTTTTATTTTAATATAAAAATATTTTTTAAAACGAATCAACTTATCTCACTCTAATCTAATCTTAACCTATCAGGTTGAATTAACAAAACAGAATGACAAATTAAAACTGTCCACTCACCCTGTCATTTTTTAGAGGAGGAACCGGCCGACCAGAGTTAACTCATTTTATCAACCTACTTTGTTGGTTTATTTTTTCAAGAAAACATTTTCTTTCAATTCTCTTTTTTTATTTTATTTTGAAAATATTGTTGTATATCTAAACATTGAAAACTTTGTAATAGCTTTTACAATTTAAATCCAAAATTGTAAACAAATCATTTTGAAATAAAAAAATATAATTCTACCTTTTTTCAAATAAAAAATATAGTAAGATATTATCGTTAGTTATTAAAATAACATTAACAAAATATTGTTTTGGATGGATATAAATATTTATATATGTACATAAAGTTGATATTCATACGGTTTCATATTATTTATTAATTAATTGAAGTATGATATATATATATATATATATATATATATATATATATATATATATATATATATATATATATATATATATATGAGCATTTATTGCCAATCGTTCTTTAATTAATAAATGAACTAATAGATTAATTATATTTAGAGTAATAAAATGGCTCAGTTTTAAAAATATGATGATTTATGATAATTAGATGGATGATAAATCTAAGTATGTTCCCTAAAAATAGGGATAACGGGTTAATCTAGTAGTATTTTTCATGTAAAACTTTTTTATATGTTTATTTAAAAATACATATTTAATTACATGAATATTTTTAATTAATTAATTATTAATTAATATTTTTTATTAAATAAATTAAAAAATTTACTACATTTATATATTAAAAATTTAATTATAATTCATATTTTAAAATTAATTATATAATATTTTTATTTTAAAAATAATCAACAAACAATCTGTTAATTGACTAATAAAATAGATCAAAATCACTATTTATATTCTATTATATATGAGTACCAATATAATAAAACATAATACAAATTTATTCTTACAATGTATCCTATATCACTGGCTCATTAAATATTTTACATAATTGTCAATGACAGAATTGACACTTTTCTGTCTTTTACATCATAAAAATTTATTCAGAGAAAACTAGTAGAATAAGACAACATTAATGTTTACAAATTATTGCACACCATTTTGTAAGTAGCAGAAGTACAATGATGATATACTTCATATTTCACTATTTAATAATTAATAAAGCCTATAATTAAAACATTGTAGAAACAACTGATTTAATAGGGTTGAAAACTCCCATCTTGTATAATTAGTGGACATGGAGTATCAGAAGCAAACTGTGCAAAGTTATAAACTGCATTATTCTCCACAATCTGCAAAATGTAATCATATTTTAAAATGATTTTTCCAACAAAATATATAACATTACTACGTGTTTCTAAACAAAATTTGTACTTAATAAATAGAAATAGGCATTACCTTATCATGCAGATATTTATTTGCCGCTTTTAGTGTTCCCTCCTACAATCCACAGTTAACAAGTTGGTTTTCATTCATTTAAAAAATAAAATAAAATTACAAGCTTTTTATTTTAAAACAATATTTTAGAGCGAATAGAAAAATAAGTTAATTATGTTATTATAAAATTACTAAAAGAACGAGTTTTCTCATTTTCACTTGAATAACTTGTCCAAGGTATTTGTATATAATTGAATATATTAATGTCAATTGTATATAATAAAATTTTGTATATAATAATAAATTGATCTTATTATGTAAATAAATTGACGATTTTTTTATTCATTTTTTTAAAATCTATTATTTATTAT